TGACTGCTGTAGCTGAACCCAGGACAGACGTGAAATCAGGAAACTCATGAGTGTATGAAGCAAAAGAAAACACGCAAGGCCTCTGTCAGATAGCCCTGGCAGAGCTCCCCTGCAGAACATGAAATGGTCTTGGTATTTAGAGATCAAGTTATTCATTCCCAACTGCTTCTTCATGTGCAGACAATCTAGGCATTCAAAATACAGAAATGCGTTGAACAGTGTGCAGTTAAGAGGCATGCAAAGATACAAAGTCAGTGCAGAACTCTGACTCCCTGCTTGTTGTATTCCTTTCCCCTACTACCAGTTGATTGCCAAGTACCTTATGGGACTGGCTGGTTCTAGAAACAAGAGTCTCAGCTTCTCACATAGACAAGGGTAAAGCTATTCCACCTACCGAGTCCTGAGGGAGTTGCTAGCTCACAGCTGCTTCTCCAGCTATTGAAAGGGTTAATCTTGGCAATAAAAATTCTGTGTTACCAATAGATTAAAAATGATCCCATTTTCATCTTCTTTATATTGCAATAGTAAGGGCAAACTTTTAAAATATATTCATCGTGTATGTAACAACAACAAAGAAGTGTGACTACTTGTAGCCGAAAAATGCTGAAATCTCTAAGCACTATTGCAAGTAATTCCATATTTATCACACCACACACTAAGCAGTCAAGAATAAGCAGGATGTGGATAATATCTGAATGGTAGGAGGACAGTACCTGGCAGATGGGAAGGCTCTCATTAATATTTCTGAGAGGGTAATGATAACATTTTAAAAAAACCTGTGTAATGAAACACTTTCCTTCCCTTTCATCAAAATCCCAAAGCTCTTACCTGCCAGAGATCTATATCACAAGCAAGAAGCTCACCAATAGCTCTGGTTATTTTGTCTTGATAACTTATTGAAGACAGCAAATACTTTCAGCCAGAAACTGCTTTGTGGCCAGTTTTGAAAGAGACAAATGTCCTTTCATTACATCTGTAAGCTATCCCTGCCAATGAACCGGAGATATGAGAATACAGGATTTTTTAATAATCACAATGAAATCAAACAAGGGTGTTTATAAAATGAAGGCAGGGGCACAGTGAGGGGGGAGCCTTTTCAGGGCCTCATTTTGCTCCCAGGGTTTGAGCCAAACCTACTGAAGGCATCTTTCAATTGATGGGCATCCCCAGGCCTCTTTTAATGGATTTCAATGGCCTTCAAACAGTAACTTCAAAAGGCAATGATAAAGCTCCTATTGACTGCAGTCAGAGCAGAAATGGAGCTCAAATTATCTGGACTGTATAGAAAACCTAACTTGTTATGAATGGCTATTAAAAAATCCACAGCAGATACTGAAATGCTAATTGTTAAGAGCTAGACAACAATTAAAAACCTGTTGTAAACAATAATGAAGCTTGTGCAACTTTTTATTAGCCATCTCTTGAACATTCAGTAATTGCTTTGACTGTGTCATAAAATAAGGTATTGAATGAATGTTGTGGAAACATGTTTTGAAGAAACCTTTGTGACCAACAAGACTAATTTATTTATGCCTTGCAATGCCTGCTCCATGCATAAAACAGGAGCATGTTTTGACACTGACCGTCCTCATCAGCTAAGAAGCATTGCAGGATGAAATTTAATGCAAATATAATAACATTTTCAAAAAGACTGTTAGGAAATCTTTATGAAGCTGTGTCTTTTGGCACATTAGATCAAAGTGCTGTTAACAGACTGCAATAAAATTGGCTTAATTCTCAGTTGCCCTAAAGCGCTCTCTACACTGAGCTGCCAGAGTGGACTTACAAAAAAAGTACATGAAATTGGTACGTCTTCCATAGTCTGTTTTACTAACAGATTTACAATGGAGACTAAGCCTAGGGGATAACTGGAGACTAAGCATTATCGTTAAAGGGGCTGACTCGTCTTAAAGCTTCACTGCTCTTTCAACAATATCGTTTTACCAGTACACAATCACTGATTTCTTATTGCAGCGTACTTCTAGTAAGTGGACAAAAAGTATCCTGATATCCAAATTATTACTAACAAACTACCAACTTGCAACAACACTTAATGAGATTTCATATCAGTTTCTTTTCATTAGAGTTATCCTCTCTTTTGCAATGAAAAATCGTTATTATAACACACACCTTGATCACGATCTACCGCGCACATGCATTTTAAAATTATTTGGTTCTCATTTTTTTCTCCCCATAATTTCAGAGAAACCATCCTCATGCTGCATCAAGTTTCTTTCTTGATAATTGCTATATCCATCACCCTTTTTTAATTTTAAAAAGCAAAGTGTTTTTACCCAGCATATAAAGCCTCTCCAGAGTAGATTAGGAAAACCAGTCTATACCCCAATACAGTTACTCCTGCACAAGAAAGACAAATGCATTTATACTGTACAGTGCACCCACACGATGACCTGTATAAATATGACCACAATAACTTGAAATCTTAATATTTTAACAGGTATAGTTACGTACAGCTTGCATGTAGAGTAAATGCAAACCCTAAACATGAAAGTACAGTTAAAAGAAGTCATCAGTTAGTAAGCTGCTGACTGTTACACCTTCATGTGCTCACTATCCTGATTTGAGACTTTACACAACTCTCATTGCAGTTAGCGAGAGTTTTACCAGAGCTTCAGACAGATTTCTTTTTCCTTTGTGTCCTACTGCAGTCTTGGAAGCAATCTACCCCTCACTACCACTGAGATACTAGAAGATATATGGTAACATAACATATTTCAAACACATACAGCAAAAAAGCGAAGACTCCCAGAGTATTTCAAGAGGAAACTAACTTTCCCCCCCCCCCCAGAGAATACTCCCCAAGATTGAGACTACCCAAGTGCATGCAAGACATATTCAAGATCTCACTATCACTGACAATGGAGAAGGACCTGCATTGCCCCTGCCCAGTATTTTCCTCAGTGAGGAAAAAACCAAATCCAGAAAAACAGTTAAGACAGGATTTTTTTCCAGATTAGGAAATTAATGTGTTTTAACATGCAATCAAATGATTTTAAGACTATAACAAAGGAGGACTTGCTCATCTGATCTGTAGCAGCTTGACAAAAACCTCTTAGGTTTGACAGGAACAACTATAAAATCCACTCAATTCTAATACGTATCTTTATTGTCGGAAAATAATCCATATTTGCTGATAGTCAGCAGTCCAGCAGCTTACTCCTTGAAGGACAGCTGAACAACTGCCTTTTCTTCCCCCTCCCCAATTTTTTCAACGTAATATTCTTACAAGCTCAACACCTTACAGAAGAAAATCGGTAGTATGGATGTTGATGGACACAGGAACTCCTAAACAACACTCCTAAAGCCGTGTTAGAAACTGACTGGAAATATGACCTGCCAGTTGCAGTCCATATACAGTCTCATGAAAAGTATTTAATTTCTTGGGCAAGAGCAGGCAGCCCAAAATGCAAAGCTGCTGGGTAGATTACTTGCAGCCTTCTGACTTCCACACCAGCCAAATCAGCCTCTGTGTAGTGCGGGAACCAGACCACCTTTGTGACATGAACACGATAGACTTTTCATCATGTTTTTGAAGCTAAATGATACTTCTAGAAAATTCTGAGAGAATTTAAACTCTTCTGTTTGTATTTACTTTTAGCATTGAAGCACACTCAACAAAAATACACCAAGTAGCTGGAAGGAAGCAGAAAGACTTGCAGGGTACTGTATTAATATCACATGAAACCATGTGCTTTACTGGCAGCTTTCTCAGGAAATTTCTAAATGGGAGTGCAGAAGGTTTCCACAGTTTTAAGTCCCAGCTCTTCCAAACTAAATAATTTACACTTTTCCACCATTTCAGTAAGCATGAACTTTGAAAAATGATCTAGGGTTGTGCTGAGGTTGCTCTGACCTCCTACTACTCTGTGTCTGCTCTACCCTTTTACTAGCGTAAACTTAATCACATGGCCAATGAGATTAACCACTTCAGAGACTCAGAGGAATATGACCTCACTGAAACAAGACCAGTTCTAATCAGATGAGTTTTTCGGTGGCTCTGCAGGCTCACGTGACACAGTGCACAGCCTATAGAGCTGGAACAACGAAGGATGTAAAAATACCATGTAGCCATGTCAGACGTTGCATACGAACTCCTACTTCAGTATGGGAACAGGTTTAAGATTAATTTAAATCAACTGTGAAAATACCCCCTAGGAGTCTGCTTTCCTCATCTTAAATTGATAAGACACAGCAGTATTTCACTGGGCATTACACGAGGCTGCAGGACATGGAACCAGGAGTCCCCAGGCAATTGAGTGTGACTCAGAACAGAGATCTGCCCTATTACGCACATGGGACTGAAGGGGTAAGAGTAGTATTTAGAGAGAGGAGACCAAAGACACCAGAGAGAATAAAGCAGCAAAACTATTTCATATAACAAATCAACCTGTGGCATTTCATACGCTAGAATTTGTCATCCATTATGCAGCAGTAGTTTTGAGGGATGTCCAAAGGATCATCCATAAGCTATCATATTTTTGAATGAACAGCTACTTCTCTTGCTTCTGCAAGAGACAAATGATTACAATTTGTAATTAACTCCCAATTAACTCCCCTGATGTAATAAATGAGTGCTCTGGAATTACACAACCTGCTGCACTTTATAAATTCTTGTTACAAATGCAAAGCATATTTGGCAGCAGCAAAGGCCCTAATACAATCCTAAATACCTACAGTCCTGTCACCGATGTGAAATATATTACATACAATGTTTCTGGATGGTAATAGCTTGAAATCTTATTTATTTTTTATCTTCTTTAATAAGCAATCAACCACCACAGACTGATGCACATTAATAACAGAAGCATGTTCCATCTCCTTACCTGTACGGGCATAGCCCAAAGGTTAGGGCAGAGGAAAAAGAACCACATCAGCTGATTTGTGTCTATGGCAACGAGGTTGCAGATCTGACCTGCAGTCATCTCCCCCATAGACATGTTGGAAGTTGAAAGCTGCATAATTTTATTGTATATTTTTGTCTGTAAGAGAGATCAATAGGTGTTAGCATATAGAAATATAACAAGATTTCTAGCTGCACATAAAACAAAGGTGTTGTCCAGCATGCTGAGGGAAACCAACATTCCCAGTAACTTGAATGAAGAGCTTCAAGTTTGGCCTTTTATATTATGACAAAAAATTTTAAGCTACTGCATTAATTTTCACCCACAAAAGGCTTAGAGGGATGTCTAGAAATTTCAATTTGAACGCTCTAACTACTGGTGTTATCTGGGCCTCTGTGCACTATCCAGTGCAGAGAACACAAAGCTTTTCCTAAACAAAATTAACGTAGCACTATTTTCCAACAATTCCCCTTTCACACTTGCTGTGGTCCACATATTCTTCAGTTAGTTGCAGTTCTTCTGCTTGACAAGAGACATGCATTTTTTTATCTATATTCTCTAGGTCAAATTTTTATTTGATTAGAGATTTTCTACTTCACTCTAATAAGGGAAAACCAACGGATGGAATCCAGAAGTCTGGCAACAGACAAGTGCTTCCAAGTGTAAGATCGAAAAAGAATTAAACAATTATGCTGCTATTGAAACCATCCATCCATCACAGAATCTCACAGAGTCTATGTAGTTCAGTGGATACACAGTGTTAACTTAAAAGGCTAGCTTTCAAGCTGTCAGAGGGTAGGTGAAGTGTCAATGCACTTCACAGTATCATACTGTAATCTTATCCCTAATTCTCTCATTTCCAGGCACAGATCTTGATATACATAAAACTTTGATCTGCTGTTCACAGTTACACAATGATTATGAACTCCATTTTCCCAGTCTTACTTATGTTCAGTAATTACAGACTCTGAAGTGCCTGGTAGATTTTGTGGCATGACCATGGAATAAGACACTAGTCCATGCACTGGGAATACATTTATCCTTTTGTCCAAAGTGTATTGAAAGTACATTCTAAAGCTGTATTATTTGCATGGGATGTTACAAAAGTGCACCTTTCAGAGGGGAGAGGTGTACATCGTTTCCTAAATTCTTTAAAAAGTTACTTTCAGTTTTATTGTCAGCAAATTTATGCTTAAAGAATACAAATTAGATTACAAATAAATGTTTATATAAAATAAATAAGATGCAGAAGAAACAATTCAAATCTAAGTTACATTCAATGCATATCAGAAAAGAAGCTTTTCAGAATTTAACTCCTATAATGAGAAATTGTATTTACAAATACACATATGATTGTATGAAAAAAAAAAGTTAATTAATAATATATTGGCTACCTGTATTGCACCTCTCAAGTTGATTCCTGTTTCAATAGCAACATAGTATGATGCTTGGAGAAATGTTCTTTGTAGTAGAAGAGCAAAAAATAAGAGTACAGCCAACACATAAGCATTGGACAGGAACTCTTGAGATGAAATAAAGAAAACACCAAGAATTTTAGTCTATAAAAAAAAAAAAAAAAAAAAATCAAAAAAAGTTAGAAAATAAGGTGCAATGGTAATTTAATTACAAGTTTTGCATAATTAATAAGCAGAGAGAACCACAGTTTATTACTTTGCTACAGATTGTGCTATATTGTATCAAAGGCAGTAAGAGAAGCAGACTAATTTTAACATTGTCTTACATATACATCTGGCTAGTACTAATTACTGCAGCTAATAACACTTTTTACTGTATGTAAAAGAATACTATTTTCCACCAAATGACCTTTTAACAAATCATGCTTTTCTAGCAATGAGATTTTGGTGCAGTGTCGATTCACATTAAAACATCATCAAATAGATAAACAAATATTATTTCTTCTAGCACTCACTTAAGAGAAAAGGAGGACTTAAACGTATATACATAAATACACATGAACACATGCACTTGGTGAAAGCACCAAGGTATTTGCCAAGTCTCAGATGCATTACCAGGCCATTATGGTTTACAGCATCACTAACCATCAGTGTGTTTAAACTACAATAGTTGTCTAAGTAAACTTGTCAGCCCAGAGGACAGAAGGAAATAAACTGAACATCTACCAAACCTTTTGCATGTAAGGCAAACAACCTTGTTTGAGAAGCTGATGGAATTAATTAGATGTTTTTGTTTCAGAAATGGCTTCGGGGACATTCAGTGTCCCACTTTCCTGATGACTTTAGGGTAATACCACTTTTTAAAAGTGCCAGTAGGTTCTAACCAGTAAAAAGCTGAGCAAAGGGCCACTATTTAAATACTTAGAAGACCCTAAGCTAACACAGTCTTAAATATCAATACTGGGCGTTTTGCTACACTGAGACCTATGACCATTTTAAATAATGAGTCTGTAGGTTTGGTGTATCGTTTGAATGTTTCATGTCAGCAGATATTCCTAATACTGGAACTGCTAATCCTAGCATTGCACAATGTGGAAGATGCTACCAGCAAAATACAAAGGTTATCATTCTGTCAGTCTCTTCTTTGGTGTGAAATGATTAACACTGAGAGAAGCTCATGTCATAAGAATGTTCTGGGGTGGCCATAAATATTGATACTGGAGTTATAAATAAACATGAAGAGTGTGACAGAATTTAAGACACTGTCATGCTCTAACTGCAGCACTAACTGAAGTACTTAATACTGCCTATGATACCCACACGATCTCAAGAGTTCCAGCTCCATGGTAGTTTATATCTCTTACACAGGGTCTAAAGAACAGAGCAAATATTATATTTTAGGATTTAACTCTTTGCCTTCAGTTTCACAAACAAAATTTCTGTTGGAAAGATACAGTTGGCTCATTACAACATCTCCTCAATCTAAAGTATTTAAAACAAAAAAATGTCACATTAATGCATGGGTAAAAGACACCCTCTGCTGTGCTCACAGCTTACTTTGCTCATCAGACTCTGTCCCACTGTATGGCAATTCTTTCCGATGCCCTTAAACTCAGCAGCACATCAGACACAAACAATGTTTTCCTCCAACTTATCTTTGTCTTTTTAAGACTGTTTTACAAGGTTTGTTTCTCACACCAGCCAGGAGGTGTGCTACATGCTCTCTGTAGCTCTCAAGAGCTAACAATGAATAAGGCAAGGTTCTCCTCTTTTGACTTATTACAAGTAAGGATGTAACATTCCTAGCAGTAGAACTGATGTATTCTTTTCTGAAGTAGACCCAGTTGGCTAGATACATGCATGAATGTGTGAGTTTTCCTGAACACCCCAGTCTGTTTACAGATGGTTTGAATATAAAGCTTTCATACATCTCAGAAAGATAGTTCATCTCATCCAGAAAAAGCAATTTTCAAATGTAAAGGTAATTAGCCTATTAACAGAAAAAGAAAACAAAAATTGTATAAACCAGGTAAAAACAGAGGAAAAAATTCTTGGAGACCTTTCACTAAAGGCAAAATACACCCTTAAATATCAGTCATGGTCTGTCACCATCATATTGTTCTTAGGTGATCCCCAAATAGTGTAAATGGCAACAATGAGGCTACCATTTAGCTAGACACAGAGGATCTCAAGGCTGGATGAGGCTCCTGTTTAGGATCTATGTGAACCACACCTGAGCTTTTTTCCCACAGAAGCACTAGCTAACACTTGAATAGGAAAATTAAATAGGATAATCCATAAATTGTGATTTAGTCTCATTTCAGCTGAAACAGTGTTCCAAACAAATTATCAAGAAGCAGAGCTCAAAAGCTTCCACAGTACTTAGCTGCAACATAGTCCTATAGTCTTAATTTTTTCATTTCCTGCTTTAAATGGTTTCCACTGAATCTACTTGCTGTATTAAAGTTTCCAAATATTAGGATAAGGATTGCAGAATGGATAAACAATTAATTTTAGCCTGAGGCCTTTCTCAAATTTTCTGCAATGCATCTGATATATTTCAATATTTACAGTGGACCTAATCCAAAGTGTACTTGAATGAATGGGTATATTTCCATTAGTGTCAACAGACTCAGGAAATAAAGTCCTATATCAAACAGTAAGTGAGCTGCAGAAATAAACTGATCTTTCTCAGAAATCCAGCCGGAGTTATAGATACATTATACTGAAAAGGTGCTTCCTGAGTTGTGTTTTTCTTTCCCCCCCTCAAGTTAATCAAGAAATATGTCTGTTTCTTCTTGGGAAACATTCATTTAAGTAGCATCCTTTAAAAATATGTTTCAGTTGATCTTTAAAAACCAATTTCCCCAAGGGCACTAGAGGAAATTCTTCATCACAGTTGAACTTCATGGCATTTTATTGTGAATTAAAGCCTGCTTTAATTCTCTCAGACAACACTCATTTTTAGAAATGAAAATCCAAGCCTATTAAAAAGATACTTTTTCCTTTCTGAAAAACACTTAGTCACATACTTGACTCAATCGCTACTCAACACTCTACCTAAAATCCTTATAATTCTAGTAGGATTCTGGGTGTGCTTCACCATTATCTTGAATGAGGTTATTTTCCTGAACGCAAGCCTGACTAAATGCTGGGTGACATATTTTCTCCCCATCAGGGTATAAAAGCAGCAATACTACATACATACTATCTACATACATACTATCATTTCTAGCATTCAGAAATACAACGTAGAGTCATTTTCTTTTCTGAGGCTAAATAATAGTCATAACATTACTTCTTTGACTCTATTTTATGACATTTTAACAGTACCTGTGGGCGGATGGTGTTATTTCCTTTTCCAACATTGTAAACAATCCCAGAGATGCAGAGTGGACCAGCAAATCCAAGCAAGTCAGCCAGAATACGGAATGTGCTACTGAGAAGTAAGGGTCTTCCAAAAGCACAGCAGAGAGCACACCAAATTGATCTGGATCCTTGTGGAGATGACGTCCTTTTGTTCTGTTCAGAATAAAAATAAACCAAAACAAAACAACAAAAAATGGATTATGTTCTATTAACCTCAGGTCTGACAATTACTGGTATTTTTATCCCTGCTTTAATTCATTGACAACTAGTTGCAATCTCCGAGCTAGAAAAGCACAGGAACTACAACTATTGTTCCATTTGTTTTTACAGAGGCAGATCAAAGCATTACTCTGCTCCACAAAAAGAACTATGATTTCTTTCCTACCCTTAAAAGGGATCAAATAAGCTTGTTGGTTGTGGCTTGCTGGGGGAGAAAGAAAAAAAGAGGCAAATGACAGGTTTTGTTTTCCAGTGAACAGAGACTGGAAAACTACGCTCTTTTCAGACAGGATGCAAAAGACTTCTCTTAAAATCCTGAATACACTCGGCTCCCATCAGGGAGTCAAACTGCTTTTGAGCTCAGGTAATTTCAGCCCCGAATTCTCCTACAGACAAACTGTAACAGAAATAACATTGGAAAAGAAAAATTCCTGCGAGGCCTCATTAATATTGACTGTAATTAAATGATTCCAGGGTCTTACTAGGAAGAACTATAATGGTGTTCAGTAAATATGGTCCGTAATTACTTGCCACAGAAAAATAGAGGCCATATGGATTTCACACACATTTAACCAGTAATGTGTTTGATATTCATGCTTAGATAGAGAAATTTCATTATTTGTACAAGGTACAACTGAGTATGTGATCTCTTTGTATATGGAGAGCTATGCTACCGGATATTTCATTTGCATCATATCTGCTAATATAATTTTATACCATGCTTACAGCATAAAAAGTCATGAAAGATGCAAGCACTGAGTAATAAGATGGACACAATTCCATGCTTTGCATACCTTCTGTGCTTCAAAGGCCTCATTAAGGCGAATGTAATTGGTCAGAGCTCTCATAGCAATGGGAAGCTTGCCTATGGTTTTCAAGTCTATTGGTTTTTTATGGGCGGTCTTGATGAATGTATTCATCCACCAGTATGTTCCTTTGGATAACAGATTCACAAATGGCTGTAAGAATCGAACGCCAAGGTCCTGGAGATCCTCAGGAGGTTTAACTTCTTTAGGAGTTTTGAAGAAAACATACCGCTGAAATTCAGAAAAATACCAAAAGAATCACACTAAATGCATAGAAAATAAAAAGTCACAAAGAACAGATAAGAGAGAAAGGACATTGCAGATAATCAACGAGTCAGTCTTGGTTTCTCAAAAGTACTCAAGGAACTTACAAATTCAAATTCAACCAATACAGCAATCCAGTTTCCTCAGGAAAATCAGAAGCAACCAGTCTAGAAATAAATCATCCTAAAGACTATTATTTTGTTTATGGGGTACAAATTGGCATACTTGTAGAAAAAAAGTATTCACCTTGCATTTCAAATAGTACAGCCCCAGCCTCTTGCTCTTAGTTCCAGACAGCATAACATGAGGCATACTAGCTTAGGCACAGCCCTGAGGCTACCACAAGGATTCATCTTCCATACCATACTGCCTCACATTTGTTAGCTCAGAACCTGGAGCTTCTTGTGCTGAATGGGTCTAGCAAACCACTGAACTAGGGAGGTGCATGTGGCACTAACAAATGTTTTCACTGGCTTAAATGCCAAAAGAGCAAGGGCAGACTGCTGATGATTTCCTGTTGTCAAGATAAAACTAGGATTTCTGGATATGTTTCACTGCTATCTTTTCTCCAATCATAGATGGAAAATAAGTCACAGATCCTAGAAAACATGGTGATGGGGTTCAGAAAGGCCATCTAGAGGAACAATGGGAACAGCAGAAGGAAAGGAGAAGGTACATCTGGGACTGAAAGTCAAACAAGTCAATATTCTGTCTTCTGGAAGATGGGTGAAGGCAAGAGAAAAAAAGGTGAGGCCAGTGTCTGCTGTTTCTGCTAGCATAGAGGTCTTACCCCTGATTTTTATTTTTTCTCTCTTCCCCTTCCTACCCCCCCACAGTGGTCAATTCTCCCTCCTTGCAACCCAGTCCCTTCCTTTAGCAGCTGCAGCAACAAGCCTTGCTCTCTAAATTCTGCTATAGAAACAGCAGGCAGTGAGAAAATCCGTACTGCTGGCCAGTTCATTTTATGCATCAATGACATCCTTTACTAATTAAAACCAAACAAAACATAAAAAAGATCACAATAGGCAGTGACCATTTTTGACTCTTCTTTGTGACCTATAATTCCACAGTGATCAAATATCATTTAATTATGCAGTTCTATTATGAAGTTTATGAGAAGTCTCTCCAATGTCACAACTGAATTTCACTTTTCCCACAAGCCACTCTAGTGTTTTTCATTTATGATATAAATACTGAATGTCCAGAATTGAGGTTTTAATTCCTCTTTCTTTCAAAAATGTTACCAAAAAGGTTCTTTTAGATGTATTGTCGTAAGTTACCAAATAAACATACAGACAAAAAATCACCCAAGAAAAATCACAAAAAGAACAAAGACATAATAGATGCAACTCACACTGCTGAACAAGTTACTGGGAAGAGTTCATACACTAATGTGAGGAAAGCAGCAAGAAAATTTACATGGAAAAGTTTCTTTCCCTCCTGAGGGTAAGTTTAATTTGTGCATACAGTTAAGTGACAGACAGGTGAAGGGAAGAACTTTGGACAGATAGCAAGCCCAGTTGCCCCCATAAATTGATATAGTCAGTTGCGATTGTCTCCTGGAAAATCACTTATTGTGATTGTCTCCTGGAAAATCACAGCTGTTATTTGCATGTCTAAGATATTTTTTGATTGAGCAGACAATCCCTTTCACCCAGTCTTTTCTTACCAGAAATACTTGTTTCTGATCACTGAATCAGCAAATCATAATAGATACTTTTTAAACAAACTTGAACAGATGAAATTCATCTTAATTTAACTACAGTGGAGCCTAGAATTTTTAAAATTACAGATTCATCTGGCCTGATAGAATTGGATTAACTTTGATTCTCAAATATATTTCTAAGTGGATTTTTCTTTCTCCTTTAGAAATGCATTTCACACAAAGTACCCAGCAATGAGAATAAAACCAAAACAAAATAACGAAACACACATATGGAGACTTTTATGATACTAACTTACCCTCACCCTGATGACATTGATTTCTACAGCTAGTAGCATTCCATATAAAACAACCAGGAGTCCTGTGAGGCAAAATCTAAGCTGAGAAAATCCAACCCCATTATCACAGAACTTTACAAATTTGATGGTTTTAGTTATGAAAGCTAAAGTCCAGTAGAACAGCAATGCTGTAGGGGGAAAAAAAAAAAAGTTAATCAGCTCAACAGTTGCAAAAATATACAAGAATAGCATCAAATATTCATTAAGTAATTATTCAGAAAAGAATGCAACAAGTATATATATAAAACCAGAAAGTGGTTTTATTAATTCAAACAGGAATTCCTTTCCTATCAGATTACATGATATTTGGAAAGTTTCACAGAGTGAAGTCTGCTGAAGGAAATTTCCATCTGCTGTAACCATGCATCCGCATGATGAGTTCAAGGGAGCGAGTTTTCCCACATGTGAAGGTGGCTATGAATGATGCTCTTCAAATTTGGTTGATACTACAAGACTGCCATGAATCTGGCTAGAAGAAAATTAATTTAATTTCTCCTTCAGATCTCTGGGATGTATGCAGGAACAGATATTAAAATATTAATGGGGTAATGGGTTCAAACTTAAACAGGGAAGATTTAGGTTAGATACACAGAAGAAGTTCTTTACAGTGAGGGTGGTGAGGCACTGGAACAGGTTGCCCAAAGAAGTGGTAAATGCTCCATCCCCATTCAAGGCCAGGTTGGACAAAGCCTTGGGTGACATGGTCTAGTGGTAGGCGTCCCTGCCCATGGCAGGGGGGTTGGAACTGGATGATCTTAAGTCCTTTCCAACCCAGACCATTCTACGATTTTCTCCAAACTCTGTTGCTCCATTTTTCAATGCAAATTCCATATATGCAATTTATAATGTACATACACAGGCACATCAAGGAAGGATGGTCTGGCATTTGTAGAATATAATCTTAATTTATTTGGAGTTCTACTGAACTTCTTGCTTAAAATTGCTCATGCTACTGTCAGTTACAGATAAATCATCCCTGCAGTAAACTCTGGTGATTCAGGAACATACTCCATGCCATTCACCACACCCCAAGCCAGTTCCTATTCCCCATTCTTAAGGGAATACCTTCTAGGGTTATGCTCTTTTACATGACTCCTTCATTGCTGCTGTATCTGCCATGGTGCAACAGCTGGAAGGTGCTCTAACTGCCAAGAAAAACATGCATATGCTTTCTGAGTGTCTTGCTGCAACACCAGAGAAAGTCTCCAACCAGGACATTAGCAACTCTAAGTCTAAGTTACAAATAGGAATAATCGTCACGTCTTGCACAAATTTCCAAGAATCTGTGGCATTCCAGTTACCCTGAGGCACCCTAGCAAGCCCTGTGGGGATGTCCTATGGGGCCACCCTTTCCAAGTAAAACTAAATTTAACACAAAGAGTCTATGGGATTTGTGGCTGCCCATCCTGCTTCTATGGAAAGCAGTTTCAAAACTCTCATTTAAATGAGGACAGTAAATGGGACAGTACAGCACTACTAAGCATTAGGACATTTGCCAAGAGATCTATCTTCCTCTAAACTTAATAGGTTAGTTTGTAAAGAAAGCACTAAGAGATCAGGTATTTCAGCACTGTGTTTTAGTGGCTGAAGCAGTTGCAGAGAGGATTTAAGACACTTACTGAATCCCTCTTATAAACCTATAGCCTTCTTATGTGAAGCTTCCTACCATCTTCCCAGTTCATACTGCATCAAATCTAATCTCCTCATCCTGCTTCAGGTTGTTTCCTATCTTTGAGGCACTATTCCTTCCTATTTGCGATATGTCTGACTATAAAATCTCAGTTCATCCAAGAATACATTCCATATTGTTCTATTCCTACCCACCTTTATCTGTTAATCCTTGTGTTTTGTCTCACTTCTTACAACAGGCTGAGAATGCATCCTTCTCAGAGTAAAGAGGATTTACACAAACATTTCATGTTGAAAACCTGCACCGGCACAGGACACCTAAAAAAACCAACCAAGCCAACTGGTAACTAAGTACTGCTCTTGGAATTAGAAACAAGAACTAGCAGAGCCATTCTTCTATTTAGAACTTAAATGAGGGTCTCTATCACTTTTTTTATTATTATTATTTTATAAGAACATTAATTTATCTTTACCTAAGAAGTATTAGAAAGTGCCAAACACAACATTCTCAAGTGATAACTGACCTCCCACTGTCATACCCTCTAGAAGCATTTGAACTTATTTAGCGTCTCACTTTTGAATACAAGTGTATATAATCACATCTGACAGATGTTCACAGGCCACTCAAGATGAGGATCCTTAGAAAATACAGTTATGACTTTTTCTTTCAAACTGTTTTTTCATCATCTGGCTTGTGAGTGCATATTGGCTGAGAGTTTCTAGAAATTATCACTGAGAACTGCCTAGTGATCAGACCAGAGAGGCGTGCTTTCAGGTACTTGACTGCTTTACATCTATTCTAGATGCCTAAAGGACCTCACTTTTTCTTGGGCCATGTAAACTACCTCAATCCACAACACCAGAGTGCAGACTCTTGATGGGGCCAGACCATGGAAAATGAAGCAACGGGGACCTCAAACTGTTCTACAACCTTATTGGATTAAGCTCAAGATCTGAAAAACCATGCACTTAACTGGATGGGATTCAGTAACTAACCTGTGTCTGACTGGACAGAAATTTTGCGTACTAAGCAACAAGTGTTACATTTATAGGACAACAGGAAGTTCCATTTTAAACAATAAACTAATTCCAAGGAAATTAACTACAACATCAAGGTACAAGCAGCTTAAATTAGAAAACTAGATTACTGTCAAGAATGGTAAGGCAGTCATATTATTACAATTGGTTACATACTACTAACCCTTTCAGATTAAAAACTTAAAGTCCTATTATTACTTCATAATTTTCTCTTACCATTTAATTTCTGAGTTTTATTTATCTATATAACAAATTAACTTTAAAAATAGTGCAATCGGATGCTATAATTCAATTACGTATTTTGAACATTGAGAGGCTAGCAGATTTTCCAATTCAGTATGAAACCTGTTCTAAAATATGTCCTGCTAAACCATGCTAGTGCTATGCACAGTGTTGCAGAATAGATGCAAGGAGCACCAAAATCAGCATAATTATGAAAGTACCCTGGTAAATGGCACTACACTGGAAAAGCTATGTTTCTTGAAATATAATCACTGGACAAAAGCAATACAGAGAAAAACAGATTCAGACCAGATCAAAATGTTCCAATAGTCTAGACACTCAACTGGGACCCAGGCCTCTATCATTAGTTCAGAGAATAGATATTCCAAAACTTGTCAACTTTTTTTTATAAGAGATACTAAGAATGACTACTTCAAAATAGCCAACGGCCTGGGTATAAAGCTGAAGGGTAAGATCAGTACAGGAACTTTGCATCCTTGTCTTGCATACCCCAAGGGAATGTGCTAATCCTCAGGTCTGTTATGGAATCTGCCTTTTGCCTGTTTATGAAGGACCACAAAGGGACTTGGCTTCTTTAAGGTACAGAATGAGAGAGATTTAAAAAAAAAGAAAACATCTCAAAAGTTTCACAGTATTGGAAAATTTTATCCTGCTCAGAATTCATGAACAGACCTTTCAGAATTTCCTCAGTGCATTAGTGAAAATTTCCCCACTGAATTTAGCAACTTTTTGGCTAAGGGTCTGTCAGCCTTCACTTTATACAGCTACCAATTCTTCACAAGTGTAGGCACTGACCTTGCAGCTGGGGCAGACAATGCCCTGCAGTTCGGTGGAACTACACTGATGCTCAGAAGCGGCAGAAGATGCCACATCAGGTGATTTACTCTGTATGTGTATAATATTATGTCTCCTCTACACTATTTTACTAATGAAGAACCTTCTTTCAGTTTCCTTTGCCATACACTCAGCAAAAAGTTTATCACTAACTTAAGCTTTTCTTTATGGTTCCCATTCACCTGATTTGTATTGGGCTACAAAAGAAAGCTGCTTCATGGCCACACCGCACTCTAGTGGGTTGATAACTGAGTATAGGTATAATGTAACTATCTCATACTGAGATAATTTGCATAAAGTTATCATTGCCTGTACCAAGATTTCAATACAGAGTAGCTGCAATTAACACTGAAAGATGACTCTGAGTCTGATCCTCACCATTAGATAAGACTGTGCTGTCAAGAATAAATGATAGAGACTTCCAGAAATGTCTGTGTCCGGTTCTCTCACAAATGACAAAGAAAAGAAAAACAAAGCAAAAAAATAAAATAAAATCAAAGACCACCCAGCTTGTGAAGACTTTGGGTTAAAATTAAAATCAGACCAATTAAGTGGGAAAGACTGCAGCAGTCTGATTTTCATTTTTTGCCTAAGAGTTAGCTATTAAGATTAGATTTTTTTTAGAAGAGTCTATTCCTTGCAAATTCTTGCAAAATGAAATAATTATTAACTTCAGTAGCAATAACACTTACTTAAATGCTGGTTTTAATTGGTATGACTGTTTACTATTCAAGTGTCGTCCAGAGCTCATCACAACACTCTAAATACTGAATAAAATTATCATAAAAGAGAAATCTTTACAGAGAAGGAATTATGCAAAAATGGGTAATGAACTACCAGCTGTAAATTTGTGCTACCTTTCTCAATGACTCCACAGCATGAATGTGGTAGTGACACTTAATCACTAAACACTGCATTACTGCATTATACATCTAAAATAAAAAAAACCCCAAACAATAACAACAGCAGAACAAAACAAAAACACCCAAACAACAACAACAAAAAAGTGATTGTAAGAGGCTAGCAATGCTTTCTTGACACATAACATCTAGTCCTGTGAGAAGGCATTAAATAGACTGTGTTGATTTATTAAAAAAGTAACTAAATGAGCCCACCTCTTTATAAAAGACCTCCTACTTAAAAGAAGGTACAAGAAGAAAAGCAGTCTCAAACAAGAAGACATAAAGGTTGCTAAGCCTGGATAGAAATCTAAAGTTTTCGAAGAGGAATTACTTTTTTGGTTTTTGTTTTAACAGGAGTTATAGGCTCTTTCTGCAGAAGATGCTTGCTTTCCACAACAAGCAGTTCAAAATTAATCTTTGATATTTAGAAGCTTTCTCAAATCCAGCTGTTACTGACTTTTTACCACCTGACAAAAGGTAGAACAGAACTTTGACACACAGAGATACAATGGCACAAGACAAACCTTAGCAGGATCCATTAATACAGAAAAGCAGCTCAAGCAAAACGTGATGAGCCAGGACCACCAAAGAAATAACAGTTAACAGGAGGACTAAACATGTACACGTCCACAGTTTGCAGTCTACTTAAACAGTAGAGAACACATCACCAACTACATGCTTGTCAGTACTTACAGGTTTTCTATACCTAGCTAGTTTATTTGCAATCTTGCAGAAAACATGTAACATACTTGATAGTTCTTATACATAGCATTTTCCATTCAAAAGGTCTTACAGAAGTTTGCAAAGGGAGTTTTAGGAACAGGAAGCAAGAACAAGCAAGCAAAGTAATATAGTCAGGGTCATATTGAAAGTTAGTGATGTCACTGACTGTCTGCATATTTCAACAGACCACATACACAAAGATGGGTTCAATCTTAAACACAACATACTGACAAGCAAGGAGATTTGGATAGTTTTTAGAGTTCAGAATCTGATCTGCTACTTTTCCCCCAAAATCCACCTTTTCCTAGAGAAGCCTGTGGCCCTGAAAATACCAGTACTGGATCCCTGAAAATACCATGCAGAGTACTATTAGAAGTTAAAAGCATTGAGAACAATGGAGTGTTGCAAGAACACTCAGAACCGAGTCTGGTAGTGGCAACTAGCAGACCAGAACATAGGTGTAGTTTTATCCATACAGTCTAGCACTGAGACCGCAATGACCCGTCACAGCATGAACAGCCACACTTCCAAGTCTTGTAAGTTGTGAGACGTACCAATTAACAGCTTGGGGAAATTGGATGTTTCAATATTATGGTAATAGACAACTGATGTGATGGCCGCCAAGAATGCCATCCCAGCCGGCATGTACAGGTGTAAATGGCGCGATTCTGAAACCCTGAAAAAGAAAAATTGAAACATCTATTAAACTCAGACCCTCCCTGACAGCACAGCCCCCTCTCCAGACTACATAAAGGTGGCAGGAGTGTTTCCCTTTTAATTTATGAATTGCATCCCATACCCAGCCCTGATGCAGGATTTTCTAGATTGAGTTACGGATGTAAAGTTCTCTAATTATCAATTGGATTTATGCTCCTAAATCACATACATGGATTTCAAATTCCTCCCCTGAGCTGAAAATGAAATGTGTGTACTCTCATTTCCTACCAAAATCAGTTGGAACATTGTTTAAATTAGGATACGCAGCACAGTTCCAAAATGAGAAAAGTTAATTTAAATTAAACTAGTTTGGGACCTATCCATCAAGATATGTAGATAAGATCAACTATACCAGACAGTGCAGTTTAAGATTTTCTACAGAAATATTTTATGGAAATGTTTCATTTTCTTTTCCAGTTTGGGAGAAAGAACAGCACCACAGCATGGGAACTGCTTACGGTGAGTTGTTTTCAGTGACTACAACCCAACAAACAAAACCTACAACAGAATCATATACCCTTTACATTTTGTCCTATAAGCAAAACTCTCCTGATACTTTGCTTCAAGTAGCAGCAAAGGGGGTTCTGGCAACTACAGCTTTTAGGGAATATGGGAATAGCTGCACAATGTTTCTGGTTTGTGCAGACGTGGGTAGAATCATGCTTCCCCCACCCTTTCCTCCTCCCTCCCCTTTCTTTCTTTCACAAAAGTAATGCAGTGTCCTGTGCTGTCCAGAGGTACAATTTCTCCTGTGTGAGAAGCAACTCCAAGAGTAGAGACAGCGAGAGGAAATCTTCAGGACACAGACACTCAGGGAAATTCACACCTTGTCCTCTAAACCTCACAGAAAATTGATTAGCATCTCTGGGTTTGTTCTTGCTGCAGCCAAAGCTACCTTTGTGTAGCCAGAGGGGGCTGTGCTGACAGGGAGCTGTAGATTATTGCAGGATGTCACATGTCTGAGCACAGAACATCCCAAATGTCTAACATACATGTAGGAGCTCAGAAGGACCACTTTCTGTGGCTCCTCTGTAGGATAGGAAAGACCTCCCTCACATGGAAATTGAGATGAACTCTGCAGAGCTGTTTGGAGCCATGCAATAACCTGTATCATAAAAACTTAACTCTTGTTGACAGTGAGTTGCATGTGTGCACAGCAGAATGAGCAAAGATTCTCCAGTCTCTGAATTCCTAGTAATGCCAAGGTTATTTTGTACATCAGGGCTGAATCCTCCGCAAGGGAAAACAAGCAGCAGAAACAGATTTCTTCAGACAGCCTAAGCATCAGTAGGTAACACTGCAGGAGTGGGAGGTCTTTCAAAAAATTTATTTATTCCACAGACAGAAGTTGCTGGAATTCCCCTATATAACCTAATCTCCAGTAGGCTGCATCTATTGCTTCTGTTGCTGAGGTGCCAAAGCCTTTAGCACCCAATTGCTGTCAAAAGGACTTACCAACATGATCCATTTTGGTCTTAAAAACTGACGAGTCTCAAAATCTGCTTTTATTCACTGGAGCACTCTCTAGCCTCCCGAGTGCTTGGGAGGCATGACTGTGGGTTGGCACTCTCCCAGTACAGCTAGGAGCTTTGATTCTCATCAGGTGACACTTATTACTAAACAGCAGCATTCTGAGTCAAGTTGAAAAGCAAATAAACACAATGAGAGGGATTGCTGGAGAGCAAAACCAAACAGAAAACTCAAAGCAAAAGATTTTGCTCTGCGCATCCCACATCCTGATAACTCTGAATAAGCATGAGAAAAAATCCTTTTTAAAATAACTGGCACTGAGAAACATCCTATTTATATATGTTTAAGAGAAGTTAAAATAATAATGATGATATCAGCTTCTACAGCAGAATACTGCAGTGCCTTTCACACTGCTTGGTAGAGAGTTGTTACAGAGGTGGATAAACAGAGAGATTTTGTTCTAGTTAATGAGGAACTTCATATTTATAACCCTTGGGTTGCAAATTCATAATAGTTCTGAAAATGAAACCTTTCTTTGGAGGAAGACGATCACAGTCACAGTTATACAACATCAGATTTTTTCATAATAAATCACTCTCCTGTATCACTTGTTTCCCTTAAAATAAATTTTCCCCACAGATTACTGTTTAAAGACATCTGAAGTTGAGTAACATGATGGACCATGCTCAGATATTGCAATCAAGGTAATGGATCAGGTGTACTCCACAAACATCAGGAGAAACTCCATGAGGTGTGATAAAGCCCATCAAGATCTACTCCTTTTACGAAGAACAGAACTCAGTTTGCAGGAGAATGGTATGACCTACTGTGCTCATGGGAGTTCTGCCTGAGTAACGACTGTGGGACTAGGTCCTTGGACACAAAACATACCACAAAAATGTTACCATCTGCTTGAATTGTTAGGATTTATTTATGATTACTCTTTGGAAAGATAGTGTCATTAAGCTGACCTAAAAATTATTAAGGTCAGTTGTGTGTACGTACATAGCTTGGCACAGCTTGTGGAATTTCTCATACAAGGTCGGTAGGTTAATCACCAAGAATACAGATTACATGTTTATAACCACAAGGAATATGGCCTAGATGAGAATTCAGACAGGGAAAAAAATACCTACCCTGAAACCTTTCAAACAGTACTACCAGGAGAAGATAGGTGTACACTTACCCATCAGACACTATGCCCTCTGCAATTTCACACACCAGCACAAACAAGAGGATAAAAGTCAGTATCCAGCGTAAATTGTGGCCAGGAAAATGAAGCCATGTGCTATGATGTATATGTACTTTGGAACTCTGACTTCCCCATCCTAAGCAGGAAAAGAAAATTTTAAAGAGTTTTCTCAAGAGCAAGTGACATAGAAAGCTCCAGCTTACAGAAAAGCAGGTATGTAACAACTAGTGTACTAAAGCTGGTGCAACGATATGGTTAAACATGCATATATTTGAATATTTTCAGAACTGTGTTCTTATTGCTTCGCTTCATGCAGAATAAAATCAGCAATGCAGACAGGACACAGCCTTAAATTCCTATACTTTTAGCAACTTCGTATCAAGTAATAACAAGCATTAAACACATCAAATACATTAATAAACAAACAACAAACGAACATTTTGACAAACACGCACAAGCTCTTATACAAGCATTATTTTTTTTTCTTCAATGCATTTAATTAAAGAGTTTACACTTTATCTTACAATTAAAGTAGCTTATTCTCTTGATCTAGATACAAATTAGCCACACTGCAAAGAGCCAGACAAACACAGCGGTTCTTCAGCCGACCCCATTTTAATAGTTGTGCTGTTATTTCTGCACCGGACCTTTTATGATGGGCAGAAACGTTAAAACCGCACGGCTCGTGCCATCGCTACCTAGAGAACAGGCCAGCCTGAGCACTGTACTCAGAGCAGGGACAGCTGCATGTCTTAAACCACCGGGCCACCTACTGGTAAACGCAGTCTTATGTTATCAAATAATACCCGCTGCAGATAGGGCAAGAGTTAAGCCGCCGGGCAGCCCTCCCAGTCGATATCAGTAATGAGGAGGGCTATCCGGCGGACGTAACACTTCAGTAATTGCAGGGGATATTATTTGGTAACGTAAGACTTATTTGCCAGGTTTTCTGGTTTTTACCAGCACCTTTATATCTGCTTCCCGCTGTGCGAGTGCAAACCCTCAAACCAGCCCTGCAGTCTCCCCCAGCATCCCCCCACCCTTCCCTCCCTCCT